AAATCCCTGTACGCATAACGCCATGTCCCTGGGTATGGGGGGTAAATTCCTGTACACATAACGCCATGTCCCTGGGTATGGGGGTAAATTCCTGTACACATAACGCCATGTCCCTGGGTATGGGGTAAATCCCTGTACACATAACGCCATGTCCCAGGGTATGGGGTAAATCCCTGTACACATAACGCCATGTCTCTAGGTATGGGGTAAATCCCTGTACACATAACGCCATGTCCATGGGTATGGGGGTAAATCCCTGTACAAATAACGGCATGTCCCTGGGTATGGGGGTAAATTCCTGTACACATAACGCCATTTCCCTGGGTATGGGGTAAATTCCTGTACACATAACGCCATGTCCCAGGGTATGGGGTAAATCCCTGTACACATAACGCCATGTCTCTAGGTATGGGGTAAATTCCTGTACAAATAACGCCATGTCCCTGGGTATGGGGTAAATCCCTGTACAAATAACGCCATGTCCCTGGGTATGGGGGTAAATCCCTGTACAAATAACGGCATGTCCCTGGGTATGGGGGTAAATTCCTGTACACATAACGCCATGTCCCTGGGTATGGGGTAAATCCCTGTACAAATAACGGCATGTCCCAGGGTATGGGGTAAATCCCTGTACAAATAACGCCATGTGTCTAGGTATGGGGTAAATCCCTGTACAAATAACGGCATGTCCTTGGGTATGGGGTAAATCCCTGTACAAATAACGCCATGTCCCTGGGTATGGGGGTAAATCCCTGTACAAATAACGGCATGTCCCTGGGTATGGGGGTAAATTCCTGTACACATAACGCCATGTCCCTGGGTATGGGGTAAATCCCTGTACAAATAACGGCATGTCCCAGGGTATGGGGTAAATCCCTGTACAAATAACGCCATGTGTCTAGGTATGGGGTAAATCCCTGTACAAATAACGGCATGTCCCTGGGTATGGGGTAAATCCCTCTACAAATAACGCCATGTCCCTGGGTATGGGGTAAATAATGATAAATACGTTTGTTGACCAAATAAGCTGCCTGTAGAGCGTTTACCTGTAATAGCCAGGTCAAAAAGTCACGTGACCAAGTAGCGCCATCTTGCGACAAAGTGATTCGGTGATCTGACGCACATGGTTGGAGTGAAAGACAGTTTTTTACAATAGGTGAATATATAAATAAATGCTATTTTATTAAAGATTTGAAAAATCGAACAAAACAATCTACTTGAAAAGCAAAATAGTATTTCGTGTGTTCTTTAAATGGTGCAAGTAACATAAATTAGATAACTATGTCAAGCTACAATTCACCATGGTAACCACCGGATCCACTGGCATGTACGGTATTTACAATTAACACTATTGTCATTTGTTTTGTAGCAATTGGTTATTTCGAAGAGTTCAATGACCTATAAAGACTGGGTTTCGCCCGACGTACCTATTTACATGCAGCTGTGGTTCTGGGATGTGAAAAACCCTGACGAAATCCTAGCGGGTGAACTCCCACATTTCGTCGAAAAAGGTCCATATACATACAGGTACGGTTGGAGCATCTTAGTCCAAACAATTGTCACGAAGTTCGGCTTATTAATACATTTGTATGCCAATTTTCAACATAAAATGATTTTGATTTATCAATTTTTGCCATAGATAATAATAATAATAATAATAATAATAATAATAATAATAATAATAATAATAATAATAATAATAATAATAATAATAATAATAATAATAATGACGAGTATTTATATTGCGCTTAACCTAAATTAGCTCTAAGTGCAAGATGGCACTCTGCTTTATTTAACAGTTGCCATTTCCATAAATTCCCTGTTCTACAGCTCGCTCTATTTTTGTTCTCGCCATCTGGAAGTGTAATCTTCTTTCTTTTTTTAAATGTTCATTAATTTACTTGAAAGATAAAATTGCTGCATACTTGAGTCCATCGTCGCTACCCTCCAAACATACTCTAGTCAAATACACCGACAAGGCCAATTAGAGCGTGTTGTAGAAGGTCCTCACATCGACTACTTCTACAAGTAGAATAAGATTGATCGGTTCCCGGTTATGAACGTTATTAAATACTACTACGTAGGCGTAATGTATGTTAGCAATGATAACTTAAAGTGGTAACATAATATTTTCGAGATAAACTACATTTGTTTATTAATCGTGTCAGGCTTTATTACATTTATCATACACCCCGACTGAAACCGTCCCAAGGTTTTAGGCACGAGACGCTTCTGTGAAACAAATGGAACTGATATTTTGTTTTTCCGTAAAATCAATATTGAAAACAAATCTGATGCGTTGAGAATGTATTTCTGGCCTTGGGATATACTATATCCCAAATGATGAATGGCTACATGGCATTTAGACGTCACGTGAACAATAGAGAGCGTAATTATTTACTTAAATAGTTTTTTGCGCATACACTGTAAATTGAACTAATGAACTAATATTTGTGTTTACATGCAGGGAATACCGTGATAAGTTTGACATCGTATGGAACTCAAATGGTACAGTTTCGTATAGAAACAAAGTAGTCTTCACATTTGAACCAACGATGTCTGTTGGTTCGGAAGACGACATGATAACCACACTTAATATCCCACTTATGGTAAGCCAAGATCTATGGTAACTATGATGTCAATTTCCTCTTCGGAATTTGGTTTATTATTTCCAAATAGTTTTATTTAGTGTCAGCGTTTCCGGTGAGATGATATTCATTTCAGTTATATTATACAATGGTGATTTATCTCCCATAATGCATTGTGCATACACTTAGTATGTCCTATTAGTAGTCGTGTAAGTTGTTTTGAATGATAACAAAAGTTCACTCAGATATTTCTAGTTCTATTTTTATTCACACTAATATGCCCAGCTTATTTTAAAGCGCGGTGGTCGTCGCGTGTTCGAATTTCATGTAAATAAACAATGTATTTTACACGCGTTTTATACGTCGCTATGAGTCCCATATCGAACAGAACGCGGCGCGACGACTACCGCCCTTTAATTTTATTTATTCATAATTGTTCAAACACAAAAAAACCATTTAAAGGAACATAAGAGGCAACCAAACAATGCATGACTAAGCATAGTATTACTACACAAAACAAAGCGAAGTCATAACATAATCTAAAAAGTACTAGTAAAATAGGTTGAACAATTTAGTTTTATCCAAACTTGGATATTATATTAACCAGTTTATGATCGTGGCCAGGTTAGATTATGGTGCATGTTCTATGTATATAGGATCTTCATTTAATTTCACCTAAAATTGTCTTTTTGTGGTTACAATAATTCAAACAATTTTTATCTAATATCAAATTTGGGAACATACTATCAATCGCTATAAAGCAATAAATAACAACCAAGTTCAATTTTGGTGTAACCAACAATAGCAGTTTTCAAGATATGAGATGAAATTGGACTGAAATAACGCATCTTTCAGCCAGATATTATATTGTATTATATATTATTATATTATATATTATTGCGTTCTTTCAGGATTTTTATACTCACTTTTACCAGGCAAAGAAAAGATATTGCATTATTATTCAAACATACATTTGTTATTTAATCGATGTTCTCAATAAACAAGGCTGTAATAGTTTTTAAACAGAGTATCTGTGAAATCGAAGGAATTACTCAGGCTGAAATCATTAACAATGCTATTAAAAAGACCCCACCCCCACCCCACTCATACGCACGTGGTAAAAAGAGTATTTTATTATATTAATAAGGAAATGATTTAAAATAGACGTCATTTCTGAGAACCCGCTCAAAACATGTATCTCCTAAGATATCGGATACATCATATAGGTTATTTGAACACTTGAATAAAAAATGTGCCTGTCCTAAAACTATTGTTGCTCCCTCAGCCCGGACATAAACAAAACGACGGGTCGTTGTTTTTGTTTGAATTACTAGTATTTACTTATTGTATTAATTTACATGTAATGACGTAATACATAATTCTATAGTTGCGCCCTCTATCGACGGGCACTTCTGTGACATCAAAGTAACATAGATGCTTGAAAGCAAATTGACATTCAAAGCGATAACTGTGTTTGGTCGAGTAGTCCGTCTAAACTTGTGATATCACTCAAAAAATGTATTTAGTAATGACGTACAACCACAGACCAAATCTACATTGACGTTTTCCTTCACCTATTTACGTCACAGAAACGCTTCGTCCACAGGGGGCGCGGTTTATATTAAGCTGCTTTAAATACATTTATTCTTCAGTCAGTTGGCCTGAAACTTGAGATGATGAACATTGTCGGTATCGGACAGTGGTTAGTCGATCTATTATTCAACTCGCTTGACGCAACAGTGTTTTATCAACGCTCAGTTAAAGAATTAACATGGGGTTACCAGGACCCAACACTTAAATTATTAAAAGGTCTGGCACCTGATCAGGTCCCAAGTGACGTCTTTGGAATCTTTATGAACGTGAGTACCATTCGTCTGCTGAGGGCGGCACCATTTTATGATATGATCAAATCGCTAGTGTGAACGGGCTTTATACGACGACATTCTATTGTTTTCACTGCCAAACAATAATTATAAATATGGATGTCATTTTGTTTTCTATTCAAAGAAAAATAATTCTAATGACGGTGTATACACAGTGTTCACTGGTGAAACTGATATCAAGAAATTGAATCAAATTGATATGTGGAATGGTATTCGTAAATTATCACATTGGACAACTGAACAAGCTAATATGATAAACGGAACGGGTGAGTGACGTCATTTTTTCATGGCCAAGCATTAACTTGGTGGAACGGGTGAGTCACGTCATTTTGTTATGGCAAAGCATTAATTTGATAAGTTCCATACGCAATACCGATTGCCAATATCCACATCAGAATGTTGCAGTTTGCCTAAATATCATTATCTAGTGTACCCGTATCCTCGAGTTTAGTGTTTGTCATCATTCACTGTCGAAGATATGAGTAGTAACACATCTTGGATATCAAATATTGCACATAAAACTACCGGTACGAACATTTAACCTAGTAATATGGGTATTTGTACGTGAAACTAAAATTGTTAGATCTACAGAGCGACAGGAAAGCTATTTGTTGATAGAATATACGTACGTACAGTTAAATGTGGAACACACATATCAAAAAGTACACAAATACCAAGCATTTCGTCATGGGTTCGAAGTGAACGCACAGGAGTTTCGCGTGTGAACGCGTTGTATTATATATGCATATGTTTACATAGGACAAATTACTGAAATTGTCGTATCTTTACAAATAAGTTCGTAACCCCCATTTTTTCTTCAAAATGTAGTTTAAGTCAGATTGTTTTATTACGAAAAGTTACAAAGCATATATGCCCTAGTATAAAATTCAAACCCGAAACTGTATTGAGCAACCTTAACGTAATATTCTCGGTTCTACTATACGTATAGTGCAGTACATGCAGGTTATGTTCAATATTTCTTCACAGTCTGTTTGTGTGTTTTTTTCCAATAGACGGTTCGATGAATGCTCCTTTTATGGACCTCACAAAGCCACAGTTTGTATACGCAGCAGACGCATGTAGGTAAGATTTTCTTCATTTTCAGTAAAAAATGACATTGTCGTACGCTCGACTTCTCAGTAGGTTGACAAATTATTATATCTTAACACATCCAGCAAACGATATTGATTGTTTTTGTATTTTCTTTCTGGAACATGAAACCGCGTAAAACATTCTGTAAGTAGGGGTGTATCTTTTGGACAGGATGGGATATACTAGTATACAATGAGTTTCCAAGGTAATAAACTATCGCAACTAATGGTTATTTTTGAAAGGCATCCCGGTGTTCGAAAAAGGTGTATAAATCTGCATTCAGAAACATGTGCCGAGAGGCGCACTAATTCCACCCGAATCAAGGATATGCACCTTCGGGTATTTTATTGCGTTGAGCTGCGCGGCTACCAGTCGTAGTGCACGAATACACAAAGAAATAATTTCTCCCCATTGAGTGACGACGCACCCACGACGTACCGCCGGTCTACACTGCCACACATGGGTATACGTTAATTTTCAATTATGTATAAGTCATATGATCCTTCATTCTTCAACATTCAAAACTGTCAATGTCCAGGCAGCACGTTTGTTAAACGACATAAGTAAGTTTGCAAATATATCCAGTTTTCACCTACGTCGAGATATCTTTTTCATTCTGTAGATCACTGGTTGGAGTATACGAAAAGCATGTTTATTTAAAAGGTATTAAACTTGCAAGATTCTCGGCGCCTGAATATGTTTTAGCAGACGCTGACACTTATCCTCCTAATATTGGTTTTTGTACGCCAAATGAAGACCACTGCTTACCAGCTGGACTCCTTAACGCCAGTGCATGCCAACAAGGTAAGTCTCTTTACTACATCCGGGTAACCCATGGCCACTTCGTACGTTTTATTTACTGATCTCTGGTTGTAGACAACTGTGTTTGGTCGTAGAGTCATTCATCATTAAGACTTTAGCAAATACTTAGAACCCTTACATTTTTATCAATGGGCGTCAAACAATTTGAACAACCAATGAAGGACATCGCCACGAGAGGGCACGACTTAATGCATATAGCAACCACATAATATTCTGTGTATCGGAAATATTTTTACCGGTCTGTCGATCTGAAATCACAGTTTTTGTATATTATTATTGAACATGTTTTTGCTGCATCTAAATATCGACTCAGGTATATGAATAGATCGCTACCTACTACTTCTTATCGTTGTAGGGGCTCCGGTGATATATTCATTTCCACATTTCTTATACGCGGATCCGAGTATAATGTTACCAGACATGTCACCAGATAAGGAAAAACACCAGACATATGTTGATACAGACCCGGTAAGTGAATCCTTTTCATGACTCACAAGGCAATGTACGTGGCAAAGTGTTAATGTTATTTAAAAATACAACACGTTTTTTCTACGATGTAACCAACTTTCAGGCGATATATTCTAATTCTAAACAAAATATACAGTTTAAATCGAAACGTCGATATCAAGCAATATAATCAATGCCCAAAGATATAAGTAATTTCCGTTAAATTACGTCACTGTCTCGCTCTGCGTCCAGTGGCGGATCCAGA